TGACAACTGCCATTCCCCCCCCCCAAAAAAAAAAACCACTTCAGTTTTGTCATTTTGTATGCATTTTACTTTATCATAACTGTATGAAAACCGTAACATAACCATCTCATTAGGACAGCTACAAACTACAAAGAGGAAAGCCCTCTTGCATTTCTGTGGATCCAGTCATATGTTAACAGGGCTTTTATTGCATTGTATCAAGGGCAAACTCAGTATAAACAGAGGGCTGGCAGCAGCAAAATCAGTCTGTAGGCACGCAAGCCTCTCGCATCCTATGTAAATGAGCAAACAAGATGAAATGATGTTTAACTAACTGGTCTTTGTTGAGCTGAGTCTGGTCTACACCTGGCTTATAAATGGGGAACAGGATTAAAGATCTCTGCAGTAGCTGAATTATTATTTGACAGATCTGGGCTATTTCCCTTGAGGCATGAAGGGAGTTCCTCAAATTAGGTGGGTTTTTTTCTCAAAGGCTCTGAGTTCTTGGCGGCGTACCGCCAAGGCTGAAAACTGTAGATCTGACTGTATTACCTGCTTTAGTTTCACTCAGGTTTTGCACTTTATGATGTTTTCCTGCATTTTGTGCTAGACGTATGGGGAAATCAATTGGTGCAGAAGCTTCATTAGTCTGCAACTGGTAATGAACTGCTGTATGTCTAATTTTACAAACTCTTTATAATAAAGTTTTATTTCACACTTGGTGGATGATCTTTTTCTATGCAAAAGGAATATTAAAGAAAATGTTACAGATCTGAGTATCAAACAAATAATAAATTATATAATAATTTACATCATTAATGCATCCACAATCTGGCATTAATGAATCTAGCATTATAAAACAACCTGTTAACTTCAAACAATAGATGCCATATCAACCTATATGTGTCATATCACCTAATATTATATAGATGAAAAAGTCGATTTTTAACTCACCGTCGGTTCTCTTTCCATGGATAATGGGTCATTGTGGTCGTAGGGACAGCGTCACATGATGTTGAGGGAATTGCCTAGAGAGAAGTGGCAGCAATGCAGTGATGCAGGTCAGGGAGGCTGGTGATTTAACAATTATACTTTCTTAAACACCTTAATGCAAAGTTTGTGTATAGCTGTCCTGATACTGCAGCATGACTGACCAGATTAGGCCAAAAAAAAGAGGTTCATATTCACTAAAGCATGTGCTATTTACTGCTGATTCATCCACTAGTGGGGCCACTGATATAAAAGGATAGATATAAAAAGGTCCAGTGTGTAGGATTTAGTCGCATGTAGCAATGTAACTGCAGATTGAAACTCGCCTCATATTCTCCTTTCAAATTTGTGGTTAAAACTATATTGGCTGCAAACCCCGGAAGACAGGCCCTAGAGCCGGTGTTTGGTTTGTCCATT